ATACTCGATGCCAGCCCCCAGTGGGCCGCGCCATGAGACAGCGTTTTGGGTGTGTTCAGTTAAGGTGAAATGCTTCATGTGCTCTGTCGAACTTGCTAAGTCGCTCCCTTATAAACAGAAGTAAGGTAGCCACAGAACATGGCAAACTAGATGGGACTCAGGAGCTCTCACCGTGTGCCAGGCCCCGTGCCGACTGTTTTACTGAGGTCCCCACCAGCAACACTGTCATTCCTGCTTGGCAAGGGAGAAGCTGAGGTTTAGGAGGGCCAGTGACTTTTCCCAGGTCCCAGAGCTATGGAGAATGGATTGAGTCCCATTCCAGTGATTTCCGTTTTCCCTGCCGGACAACTGAGTTAGAGTTTATAAAGCTGACAGGTAACCAGTAACATAAATAACCAGGAACAGAAACCTACCAGCCTCCACAGGCAATGATTGGCTAAGATCTTCAACACGAGCACAAAATACTTCTGCACTTAATACATAGTTTCTGGCATTCACTATTTCAGAAATATTTACGGACGCAGTCTTGTTCCTTCTCTCTGTGGTCAGTGGTGGGCTGGAGATGATGTCGGGGTCTGGCCAGGCACTTCGGGAGAGACCAGTCTCATTAAGGAGAGTTACTTTGGTAAATTCACTGTAGTCTAGCGTCTAGCGTGCAGTCACTGTGATTGCTGACTATTAAATGGGCTGGCGAGAATAGAACTTCCGTGGCTGGGAGCAGGAATGTGTAAGATGGACCCTGAACATCTTGTCTTTCAAAAACCAAAGGATGCTTCAACAGAGAAACAGGGTAACATACTGGCCAGGTTGTGAATAATTTTTGTCATAAAGTACATCACCCTAGCCCCTGGAATAAAATAAGAATTGGTCCATCCACAAGGCAGGCAAAGCCCTCTGCTGCTGTGAAATGTCTACCAAAATTCCAGGGGTCAGGGAGGCCCGGGAAGGAAACGAAGCAGGGTAACGTGATTCAGAGTGGAGGGCTTTGGTTTTTGTTTGTTTGTTTGTTTGTTTTGAGACATGGTCTCACTGCGTAGTTCAGGCTGATCTTCAACTCACTGTATAGTCCAGCCTGGCCTCAAGCTTCTTATCCTCCGGCCGTAGCCTCCAAATGCTGGGCTTATAGGCCTGAGCTACCAGGCTTGGCTCTGAGGGCTGCTTTAGGCTGCACGCGTCGAGCAGATCTCTGGGGAGCTGATGCGCGGCCTGGCCCTGAGTCAGAACTATGGGAAGTTCTTACCACATAGGTCTGCACAAGTTAGAAGTATACAACAGGCTTACAATCTTAGATAAAAACAGCCTGTCTACCTTGAGCTGTGTGGATCAGTTGGGAGGGAGAGGAGAGAGGTGGAGACCTCAAGTGGGTGCAGCCTGAGCCCACACTCTCCCCTCCAAGGACAGGTGATAGCTGAAGGAGAGCCCAGGCGGGACCCTTACACTCGAGCGCATCTGGGGCAGCACTCATTCCTGGTTCCGGGAGGAAGACTGACCCGAGCCGAGGAAGGTACACGGGGTGGCGGCAGTTCTAAGTGCCTTGTGAACTACTGCCCCAAGATACTAACACAAGACAGAGAGGTTCCACATTTAAAAGGTTTGTGTGACCAGAAGAGCCTTACTGTCACACTGCAGGGCACAGTTGCCAGCACAGCGGGCCTAGAGAAGGCACTTTCCCCCTGGAGCCTGCTGAAGTGACCAGAAGGATGTACAGTACCTTGGAGGGCGCTGGTGTTCCTCGTATGGTACAGGCTCTGAGCATCCTGTTGTCTCACTTTCGAGGAAATCCTAAAGCTGGTAGTAAACGCTAGCGTGAGGGTGGAAATGCGTTACCTCTTGCTCTCTTAGAGGCTGGTACGTGATTCTGTTAAGACGCTTGGGGTCAGAGGCTTAAGGCAAAATTCCTCTTACGTAATAATATAAAATGATAAATGCATTTAAAATATAAAAATAAAAAATATGATGGCAACAATCTTAACCTTGCCTGAAAATATTTATACCAGTTACACGACAAGAAAGAAAGATTAGTAATTTGGTGACACCACATTTTCAGGATCTGGGCTGATAAAGCTAGCCAAAAAGAAAACCGTGATTGTCTACTGACTTCATTTCAAAGTGTAGAAATGTGGCTGTGAACTCTAGGACGAATCCAGCAGCTCCAGGGCTAGGAAATTTTGCTTCCTAAAAATATCTACTAATTAAACTGTGATGAAATATTTGGAGTTTGGTTTATTTTTCTACCCCAGTGGTCTGTTGCACAGTGATGGTTCGTGATGGCCGAGCGCGCTTTTCCTGCATGACCTCGGCAGCACTGCAGTGGGGTCAGGTGCCCCTCAGCTCATCAGCGTCGCAAGACAGAAGCAGAACTTAGGCTTCCCCGAGTCTGACACTGGTGCAGCTACGCTCTGGTTTCTCACTGCCTTCTCTTCCCACTTCCTTTTCTTAAAAGTAGGAACCTTCTACTGGGGTGGAGCTCAGTCCCGAGGTTTTTGTGGTAGGAGAGAATAGGGAAGAGAGTTCTAAAGCCGAAAGTAGCAGCATGTGAGGAAGAAAAAGGTTACTAGAATAGGAGTTAAAGGTGGCTCCAGTTTCACTTGTTGGAATGTGAACTTTGTTCTGATAAATACAATTACGCATTCAGGCACTTAAGCAACTTGATAACATTGCCAGGAAAAGTGAAATTTTGGCCTGCTTCCCTCAGAATAAATACTTCTGAAAGCATTGTTCTTGAGCATCACCCGGCTTTCTCTTGGATTCTGCCTGGAGACTGAACATGCTCATCCCTTTGGAAATAGGCAACAGTGCAGGCCATCTGTTAAAAAGAATGTAGTGTAAGTAGCTGGGCATAGCGACACACACCTGTGATCTCGGCGTAGGGAGGCTGCAGCAGGAGGGTAGTGAGCTCCAGGCCATCCGGCTACTTAATGAATTCAAGGCCCGTTTGAGCTACACAGTGAGCTTCTATCTCAACAAACATCAAAATAGTGCTGGCCAAGTAGCTCAGCGGATTAAAGCGCCTGCTTAGTCAGAGGCAGGGACCAGGAGCACCTGTTATCCCAGTGCTTAGGAAGCTGTAAACAGGAGGATCACTACAAGTCTGATCTACTTAGTGAGACCCTGTAGACCCTATACTAAATGCAAACAAACAACCCCCCCAAAAGAAGGCAAAAGTTTTAATTAGAAAAACAAAACAAGGCTGGGGAGATAGCTCAGTGGTCTAAGTGCCTGCCTGGCAAGTGCAAAGACCTGAGTTCGATCCCAAGTATCACATGCTGGGCTAGCCCTGGAATCCAGGCGCGCTGTGTCAGCCACCGAAACTGGGCATGGTGGCGCATGTCTGTAATCCCAGCCCTGGGGAGGCTGAGACAGGAGGATCACTATGAGTCTGAACTGCAGAGCAAGACTCTGTACCAAATCCATAAATAACTAGATAACTAACTAAATGAAATATTTAAAAAAAAA